ATTTTGCACTTGTTCGTTTATAGATATATTTAAAAGTGTTGGAGAAAATGCAAAAACAAGGAAATATCAAAATTGAGAACTTGACCTTGACCTTTGACCTTGACTTCATTTTCTAAGTTAGGACCTAGGGGCCTCAAATTAAAACATTCTGGGGTTATACGGTTAAAGGTTTATGATTTAAAAAGCATACCGACAAATTTATTTGGTAAAGGTAGATAACTCCTATAAAATTTCATCGAATCGATTCGATCCAAATTAGCCAAAAATTCCTGAGGATGTAATGAACAATTTAGAAAAAGAATTTTGTCGATTTCTTTTTTTGTTACAAAGGAGATGCATACACTTGATAAACAGTGAATAGGGAGATAACTCTTACAGAGAAAATTGTTCGGCTAAGCAGGGTGAAATTTAAAAGCGCATACACTGTACAATACAATGTAAGAAATATCTAAGCGACATATTGCGAAACAAATATTTATCGCAAGAACAAAATTTGGCGGAAGAAAAAAATAATAATAATAATAATAATAATTAAAAACCAATTGTTCAGAGAACAATTGAAGGGCTTTCCACATCAATTTTCAAAGTTATTGAAAAGAAGCTAGTTCCGGTTTACTCAAAAGTTAGAATTGATATCCAATCATAAGTTTCTTCAAACTGATGCGATAAATGAATGGTTTCTATATATATTTTTGAGTGAAATAGGGGAGATAATGTGCTACATCCTGTGACGTTAACGTCACTTCCAGTCTCATTTGATAGCTTCTTTTACACTGATTCCAAAAATATATAGTTTCTATATACTTTTGCATGTAGAACAGGAGATAATTGGCCACTTACGGTTTATCGAAAGTCACTTCTGGTCTTTAGTGATAAGTTTATATATTTATATTACAAAAATATGGATTCTGAGTACTTTTTCATGAAAAAAGTGCAAAAAAAGCTACTTCCGGTTTTCTCAAGGTCACTTTCGGTTGATATTTTTCAAGGTCATATGTCACCAAACCTTATGTAAAAGGTCATATGGCTTTATAATGAACCAAGTTGAAGAAATAATCAATTAACCTTATAATTAGACATTTCAGGGGCACTAACTCCTATAAGATGCCATTAGATTGTTTCAAACCAAATGTAACATATCTTCATTACAATAAAGCAAACATTTTGCACTTGTTGTGAAATATATCTTTAAAAGTGTTGGAGAAAATGCAAAAACAAGGAAAAGTCAAAATTTAGAACTTGACCTTGACCTTTGACCTTAACTTCATTTTCTAAGTTAGGACCTAGGGGCCTCAAATAAAAAGATTCCAGGGTTATACGGTTAAAGGTTTATGAGTTAAAAAAACATACCGACAAATTTATTTGGTAAAGGTAGATTACTCCTGTAAAATTTCATCGAATCGCTTCGATCTAAATAAGCCAAAAATTTCTGAGGATGTAACGAACAATTCAGAAAAAGAATTTAGTCGATTTCTTTTTTTGTTACAAAGGAGATGCACACACTTGATAAACAGTGAATAGGGAGATAACTCTTACAAAGAAAATTGTTCGGCTAAGCAGGATGAAATTAAAACACCGTACGATACAATGTAAGAAATATCTAAGCGAGATATTGCTAAACAAATTTTGATCGCAAGATCAAAATTTGGCGGAAGAAAAAAAAAATAATAATAATTAAAAACTAATTGTTCAGAGAACAATTGAAGGTCTTTCCACCCATACAGATCAATTTTGAAATAGAACTATGATAATTCAGTTTGAAATATCATATCCAGCGTCAAATAATAGTTTATTGTAAACTGATTCCAAAAATATATGGTTTTTGTACATTTTTTTCTAAATAAAAAAGATAAATTGTTACTTCCGGTTTGAAATATGTCACTTCCGCTTTTATTTGATAGTTTACCTGATACTGATTCCAAAAATATATTGTTCAATACACTTTACATCAAATAAATACAAAACAAAGCTATTTCCGGTGTACACAAGGTCACTTCCGGTTGGCTTTTCAAGGTCATGTAAATTGCAACCTAATAAAAAAGTCCCATGGCTTTATCGTGTTTAAATATGAAGTTAAAGCAAAGGTCAAAATCTAGAACATCAAATTTAACTTTGACCTTGAGCTTGAGCTCAATTTCAAGGTCATACACCAAGGACCTTTAATCATATTACCCTAGGTCTTTATTATATTTGGTAAATGGGTTATAACACCTTTCATGTAATTTTAAATATAAAAAGGGAGAAAACTCTCTTCTACGGTCAACGTACCCTTTCAACCAAAATTCATGTGTTACGACATGTCGCAACTTACAATTTAGTAAAATATTTTGTCGATATCTTGTACGGTTTTTGGAAGTAAGTTAAAATAAGCCAAAATCAAAATTTAGAATGTGGCCTTGACCTTTGACCTTGACTTAATTTTCATTTTTTTGGACCAAAGACCTCAAATCAAAAGACCCTAGGTCTCTATCACTTATGTTTTACCAGTTAGAAATGCATATTACTTATATCACATGCATAAGGGGAAATAACTCTCATATGGAGTGTTCATGTCGCTTCGGTCAAAACAGGACAAATCATGCGAAGGATATAACGAGCAACTTTATAAGATAAATTTGTCGCTTTCTTTTGCGGTTACGGAGTAGATGTAGTCACAAGGAAAACAGTGTTTGGGGAGATAACTCTTACAAAGAAAATTGTTCGGCTTAGAATGGGTGAAAATAAAAAGCGCATAAACTGCATGATACTATATAAGAAATATCTTAGCGACATATTGCGAAACAAATATGTTACGAGAGAATAAAATTTGGCGGAAGAAAATAATAATTAAAAACCAATTGTTCAGAGAACAATTGAAGGTCTTTGCACTCATAAAGATCTATTTTGAAATAGAACTATTAAAATTTGGTTTAAAATATCATATTCAGCGTCTAATGATAGTTTATTGTACACTGATTCCAAAAATACATGGTTTCTATACTTTTTTTCAAAATAAGGGACATAAATTGTTACTTCCGGTTTGAAAGATGTCACTTCCGGTTTTATTTGATAGTTTACTTGATACTGATTTCAAAAATATATGGTTAAAATACTTTTACATTAAATAAGTACAAAAAATAGCTACTTCCGGTTTACACAAGGTCACTTCCGGTTGGCTTTTCCATGGTCAAGTGGCTTGCAACGTAATGCAAAAAGTCCTACGGCTTTATCACGTATACTAACGAGGAAAAAGCAAGGGTCAAAATCTAGAACGTCAAATTTACCTATGACCTTTAGCTCAATTTCAAGGTCATAAACCGAGGGCTTCAAATCAAAAGACCAAAGGTCTTAATTATATATGGTTAATGAGTTATATCACTTTACGCCTAATTTTTAACATAAGAGGGGAGAAAACTCCAATTTAATGTTAGCGTACCATTTCAACCAAAATTTATGTTACGACATGTCGCAACTTACAATTTAGTAAAAATATCTTGTCGATATCTTATACAGTTTTTGAAAAGAAGTAAAAATAAGCCAAAATCATAATTTAAAATATGACCTTGACCTCTGACCTTGACCTTATTTTCTTTTTTTTGGACCAAGGATCTCAAATCAACAGATCCTAGGTCTCTATCACTTATGGTTCACAAGATAGAAATGCATATCACTAATAACAAACGCATAAGGGGAAATAACTCTCATATGGAGTGTTCATATCGCTTCGGTCAAAATAGGACAAATCATGCGAAGGATATAACGAGCAATTTTATAAAATAAATTTGTCGCTTTCTTTTATGGTTACAGAGGAGATGCAGTCACAAGGAAAACAGTGTTCGGGAAGATAACTCCTACAAAGAAAAGTATTAGGTTACGCAGGGTGAATTTCAAAGGCTCATAAACTGTTCGATATCATATACCAAACATCTAAGCGACATCTTGCGAAACAAAATTTATACGCAAGAAATAAAAGTGGCGGAAGAAGAAAAAAAAAATATAATAATAATCAGAACAAATACAATAGGTCTTTCCACCGAAAAGTGGAAAGACCTAATAATAATCAGAACAAAAACAATAGGTCTTTCCACAGAAAAGTGGAAAGACCTAATAATAATTAAAAAACAATTGTTCAAAGAACAATTGAAGGTCTTTCCACATCAATTTTCTAAATAATTGATAGGAAGCTACTTCTGGTTTACTCAAAGTTATAAATAGCGTCAAAGTATAGATTTCTTCATACTGATTCAATAAATAAATGGTTTCTATATACTTTTGCCTGATATAAGGGAGATAATTGCCAACTTCCGGTTTAGAAAATGTTACTTCCGGTCTCATATAATAGCTTTATTCACACTGATTCCAAAAATATATAGTTTGTATATACTTATGCCAGTAATAAGGAAGATAATATACCACTTCCGGTCTCAAATAATAGGTTAACCTATGATCATTCAAAAAATATATGGTTTCTAGGTACTTTTCCATGAAAAAAGTGCAAAAAATACTACTTCCGGTTCACTCAAGTTCACTTCCGGTTTACTTTTTTCAAGGTCATATGTCAACCAACAGTTTGCAAAAGACCCTATGGCTTTATCATGTACCAAGTTGGAGTAATAATCAATTAACCTTAAATTGAATCATTTCAGGGACAATAACTCCTATAAGATATCATTGGATTGTTTTAGACCAAATGTATCATATCTTAATCACAATTTAGCAAACATTTTGCACTAGTTCTTTAATTTGTATCTTTAAAAGTGACAGAGGAGATCAAATAACAAGGAAAAGTCAAAATTTAGAATATGACCTTGACCTTTGACCTTGGCAGAAAAGTGGAAAGACCTAATAATAATAATCAGAACAAATACAATAGGTCTTTCCACCGAAAAGTGGAAAGACCTAATAATAATCAGAACAAATACAAAAGGTATTTCCACAGAAAAGTGGAAAGACCTAATAATAATAATCAGAACAAATACAATAGGTCTTTCCACAGAAAAGTGAAAAGACCTAATAATTACCTTTATTAATGGCATCCCTTTTTTGTTTTTTGCAAACAACAACTATAATCACCACTGGAACTAACCAAAATATACATAATGCAAATGCTACCCATCTATGAAAAAAAGATCAGTTGTCATTATATTTTGAACATCATTTTGACTTCTAATTACACCTCATGTAACGATTTTTAAATTATCTGTGATTTTTAACATAGGATAGGTACAAACAAAAAAGGCAATTAATTGGCTATATATTAAATCATTTGAAATCTCCGTATCTGAAATTTACAAAGCAATATGAATAACTGTCATCATTAGCACGATAAAGAATGTTATCATCAGGATTTGTAGTAAACTTTTCTTTAAAGTGTTTGTGATCCATGAGTGATCAAGTTATTTGTCTTTCTAATCGATTATTTTGATTTGAAAATCGCTAACTACTGTTGCCTGAAATAGGCATCATAGTATGATTTCATGATAGAGGAAAGGCAGACGGGATAATTTCTATGACATTTCGTACATATCCGTCGTAATATGTGACATATTCAATAACGGTCATCCAACTTTTGATTATGCTCATAAAATATTCGAAGGGATGACTTCAACTTTGTACCACTACGAACCATTTGGTTGAATGACATTCTAATTATGAGCAAACCCATTATCAAGGGCATCATTGTAAGAAATGCAAGCTCTGGAATATCGTATCAACCGGGAGATAGATACGCCTTATGCAGGCGCCGCTGGAATGGTGCTAACTATAAAAGTTGGAAACATCAATAGATCTATTGGCATATGTAAATAATCATTAAATAATGATATACCTAATTGTACAATGTATCAATCTGTATTTCAGAAAAGATATAGCCTTCATGTTAACACATCGACTGTGCATTTTTTTTCATTCGTGTAACAAAAGCCCAAAGACAATATGTGAACAAATGAATAACAGGAAACTATGTATTATATGGTTTTCATTCCATACTTGAAAGATTTCTGTTTTGAGAAAACAGTTGTTTCTGCATTCCTTTATTATCGGTTGATAAAGGTACATTTATGTTCAATTCAGTCATGCTAATGTACTTACGGCAAAGATATTCGAAATTCTTTGTCTTCGCTGCTAACCCCATTATCAATCTGTGTTTTGGCTTTTAATAAAAAAAAAACACTCATAAAATGAAGCATAAAGAATTCAGAAATGTCCTTTATCCTTAAGAGTACATAAATTTTTACCAAGAAATTGAAATATAGAGTTTTAATGCCGTAAGTGATGAGCAAGACGCATCGGAATAAACTAGATAGTGTACACAAAGTTTCGTAAGCCAATTATAATAGGTACAAAAATCATTGCTAGATATTTATAATAGCTTATGTAAGCATTATGATTATCATATATATATATCAAGCACCATGATTTTACCAAACGATTGTGTACAATACATAAAAAATGTGATACATAACTGTTTGTATAATGTTTCTAATGGAAAAAAAGGTGTAATTAACAAAAGTGTGTTGTCTCAAAACTATACAGAATGAGTTTAAAATAATTTACATATACTTATATTGAAACAAAATAATTTAAATGGATAAACAGCTTCTGTTTGAAAAAAAAAATAAACAAAATTGAGAGATAATACCCAAATATGTTATGGATACGATGGGAGTCGACTATTCAACATTTGTAATGAGTATAGGCAATTTAAATTCATATGGAAAAAATTAAACAAATTACAGAGTTTAAAAACATTTAATACAGACAAGAATTAATGGAAAACAAAAATATTTGAACAGTACAAATTAAAAATGGAGGAAACAATAATAAATCCTAATTGTTGAAAACTGGATACACAGCAACATATAGATATAAATGATGTTGTATATGGAGAAGAAAACATTATCGTCAAAACACTGCATTGCTGCTCTAACAAAATTGAAGAAGGCTTTTCCAAAAACAATGGATTAAAATCACCAAAATCTAACAATCTTAACCAAAATGTCATGATCATAAAGTCTTAATAATCCAAAAATAACCATGACGTCTATATATGATAGATATATACCCTGCCACGGCTTGTTTGTGTTTCAGATTGATGTTTTTCTTTCTATCGATCTTATGAGTTAAGCCTTTTTCAACTGATTTATAGTTTGTTCTTGTATTGTGCCGTTACACCACTGTCCCAGGTTAGGCGGAGGGTTGAGCGCTCACAAACATGTTTAACCCCACCACATTTTTTATGTGTCTGTCCCAACTCAGGAGCCTGTAGTTCAGTGGTTGTCGTTGGTTCATGTCTGTCATATTTGTTTTTCATTAATTGTTTTGTTATAAATTAGGCCGTTAGTTTTCTCAACTGAATTGTTTCATATTTTTCATATCGGGGCCTTTTATGGCCGACTATACGGTATGAATTTTTCTCATTGTTGAAGGCCCTACGGTTGTCTATAATTGCTTACATCCACTTCATTTGAACTTGAGTGGATAGTTGTCTCACTGGCAATCATACCACATCTCCTTTTTTTCATTATGACATTTATAACATTTCACTAATAATACAAACACCCATTAGAATTTTGGTATTAAAAAAAGTATCCTGTTAAAAGTAATCCTGCATATGAAATATTGAAATTTATCTTTGCATTTTTATTGGAATATATATAAAAACTGCTACATAAATTTCCTTAATGCAATATAATATATAACAATAACATATCGTAGAATCGGATGTATGCTTTTCACTGTAAAGAAATATAAGACTTTGATTATTTCCTTCGACATGTCCATAGCTTGCATCATTGTGGAAGAAAAATAACAAATACTACAGAAATGGTACATTGAATGGCATGCTATTATCTAAAATGTTAAATTGTTTTACGCAAAGTATATTGTATAGAGTATTATCAACTTTAAATATTTTTAATCACAATTAGCTACACTATTATATCTTTAATGTATTTTGTTTTTACACTACAGAAAGTTCAAAACTTCATTGGTTCCAATATAGAATCATACACAAAACATGCGGAAAATGAGTTTTCATATGAAAAAAGGATAAAACAAGGCGACAAAGGCAATAACCGATTGTAAATATTAAGCATATATGTTGGACCTGCCGTAAAATAATTGATTTGAGGCTAAACTCAGTGACTGTTTGTTTTTAACAAAACACATACAATAATTATATTAAGGTGGTATGGGAGTATAAACAAAAAGTGATACGATTTTCTTACTTTGCCAAAATGTGGAATGTATATTGTGATATTAAAAAAATTATAAAAATGATGGTGTATCGAGCTTCTTTTGAAGCTACAGGTTGTAAACAAAGACACATTTTGTATGGATTATACAGGAAAAAAACATCATTATGTGAATCGAAAGTAAACTAATTAATAGAATTGTGAAATTAAACACGAGAAGACAGCTCTTAGAAATTCAAATGCTTTCATAATATCAAAAGAAAATTTCTGTATCCTGCTATGGCATAAAGTAGAAAAAATTTCTCGTTGATTCCTTTAGAAATTATACTATTTCTGAGTTACCTCTCCTAAATAACCAAAGTAGAAAATTGAAATCTAGGAAAAATAATCTATCTTTGTAGAAATGTAAGTTATTATCACAATCAAATAGCTTATTTATTGAATTGTAAATTTACATTTAGTTTCTTAAAGTGGATATTATATTATTTGGAAATTCAGGAAAAACACATATTAGATAATAGTCTTGACATAATTATTTACTTATAGAACACAACTTTGTGCATATCAAATATTTTAAAGTCGATCTATGGTTTTTTATTTTTTTTAGTCTTAATATCTTTTTTTCTTCGCCATATTATGGGTCATTCTTTATTGAAAGACATTAAGGAACCAATTGATGTATCGTTATTCAGGAATGTATATTTTTAGAATTTAGATTACTAACAAGAACTATCCATTTGTGTTGTTTATATATATACTTATGTTTAACGAAGGCGGGATTAGGAACTGATACATTCATTAAAGTGGGAATTTCTGCTAATGTCAGAGCTTTTGCCAGTAACATATTGCACATTCTAATATGACGACATGTATATCGTTAACCCGTATAATCACAGTATGTCTTTGATGTTCAGCGTTACGCCCACCTTATTTATACGACCAGGTAAATTCAATTTCTGACCATTAAACCAACGTTTTACGTAGGCCAATCTTCGAATACAAAAATTAATTTGTAAAAAAATAAGCAAAGTCATATACACGATTGCGAATGTTCAAAATGGAGATTAAAACTTACTGCTTTTTATTTTATTTCTTTACAATACGAAAGGAAGTTGATAAAGCGCAATACTCACCGAAAAATGCATCAGTCTCTAGCAGAATCTTTTTCTTGCTCACATGAAATCCGTACGTACATGAATAATACACATTAAAGTCCTCTCTTGTAATATTGCGCAGAACTAAGAAAAATCCGTTTTCATTTATTTTACCATTATATTTAGAGCTTCCAGCAACAGTAAGATCTTTTACATCAATAAATATAGTAGAAAATTCATTTTTGGATGTCCATTTTATCCACCCAGACGAATCCAGACAGCAGTTTTCTACTTGGCAGTAAAGGGATAAGTCCTCACCGTACTTCCATACTTTCTTAGCCACCTTCCAAGTCAGATTATCTAAAACCAAGAAATATACAATTCTGTATAATTCATTTCATATAATAGTATTACAAAATGTATGTCAAATTTATATTATTCGTCTTTATGTTTGCTTTCTTTATATACATAAAATATCGGATTTACGATTTTTTTTTATTTGTTATACGTCAAAGCAGTATAAATTAAGGCAAGGGTAATTTACAGATGCTTAAAATGCATATATCAATTTTCAAGATAATGCAAACTAAGTTGAGAATAAACCTGAGGGGATGGCATGAAGGCTAAAACAGCAATAGCGGGTGCGTGGACAAGGTAAACATCTCCTGCTATGAATGTAGCAACCGTCGTGCGAATCCACAATCAAAATTGTACAATCAGGAATTAGACACTGTATGTAAAATTACAGATGAGACAACCATTCCGGTTTCTAGAGATCTAAAACCGCGAGACAAAGTCGCTTGTAATTTGAGATACAGACCCATCGTATCGGTCAACCAATTTGGAATAGTGAACACATGTCTTGTCGATGTCAGTCGTTCTTACTCATAATTCTGTTTCTTGTAAGGAGCACATCCATGTTAATGAAGTCTTTATAGTATTTTATTAACACGTACTTATTAAAAGCAATGTTTACTCGTCATACTTCTAAAATGACTGCTTTGAATAAGAAAAGACTAAAAAATTCTTTCAAATAACAATATTAGCACGCGACAAAAGATCATATGAACTAACTGTGGTAAGTAATCAGCAAAAGTAACGAAATGCATTGCTATTAAGTGCCAGTCTTTGTAAGAATCAGGCAATTAAAAAAAAAATCAAAACATGGCCCAAAACAACCCACCGACATAACCATCATATTTTGAAGTTACCCTCATCCTGAGTTAGAAATGGTAGGTCTTTCGTTTCTGCGTGTCTGGTAATTCTAAATACATTTTAGTTAGAATGATAGCAATTTACGGAGTTAGCTCCCCATAATTGTTAATTTCTAGTGCATTTCAACCAAATTATATCTCAAATTACCAGAACAGGAAAAGGAAACAAATGTTATAGTTGTGCACTATTATACATTTTGAACATAGATTAATGTCAACTTGAGTGGGTTTTTTTTTTGTCATGTTTTCACCGCTGTCTGATTCTTAGGCAGATTGACACGTAAAATCGAAATAGTTTTATATGCAGGAAGCTTTTATTAAAAAAAACACATAAAGATTATATGAATACTTTATCCGAATTATTATACATGGTGTGATAAATAAATATATAGACACACAATGATTATGTTTAGTGTGAGATAGTTTGCAGTTTTGCCCGGCAAATGAGCTTTTGTAATAATATGTGGACCCAGAACTGTTCCCTGAACAATTTAGGGTTTATGTAACAGGTGATCATGAACAACATATGTTTAAAATGGACAAACAGTCCGTATAGTAGTGTGAACATACACGACCGTAACGTGTTGATAGATATAGGTAAGCGTCATATAATGGGGCACAGGGTATGTTACTGCTGAGAAGTGGAAAGTTCACAATTGAAAAGTTGAATGCACACGTTTACCATAGATTCTATAAAATTGTTCATCTGTGTCAATATCGAAAACAAATATCAGGAAATGATACAGACCTCTACTATTGATAGTATCATTTATCACAGGTCATGTGATATATGAGATGCAGCACTCACTGGAATGTAAGTTATCGAGTGACTGGTATTGTATACTGCATATGCGTGTCGACAAGTTACGTGACTTGAACAATTATTTCCCGCGTTTTTTCTGTTAGGATAACCTCAGCTGTGTATGTAGTATGTTTGTATCTTTTTATGAAATGTTTTTATAATAGTTAGATTTTTTACAAGTAATAAAAGACAATGGATTGAAACTTTAAAACATTAGTTTAGTTTTAGTTTAAACATATTTTATTTACTCAAAGTAAAATGGATTATTCACAAGTAAACAATACTTATGAAGTCGTCTTCAAATAACAATAAATAACAATACAACATTGATATGAGCATGCATTATTTCTGAAAACAATGAGACAATAATAACGAAAAAATAGGAAATGATGATGATGATGATGAGTTTCTACCGCAAATACACTAATCGGTATCATATGAAATCTCTCAGACTTTTTAATAAACTCGAATTCATGTTTAAATTATGGACGTTTTAATACGAAGGTTCGGATTACCAGATGTTAGTAACTTGGCAATCAATATTAGGTCATCAAGGAGCCATCTTAGATTGTTCATCAGAATTTTTCTCTGGTCTGTATATAAAAAACAGTCGAAAAGGAAATGGTGTACAGTCTCAATGTTGCATCCACAAAGACATTATGGGTCTGCAATTATGTTGACTCTGAACAAGTCATAATTCCAGAAAGATGAGTAGCATCTAAATTGTGTTAGAATTATATTTAGTTTTCTCGGTCCATATAAATACTGCTTAGGTACATCTTTATTCATAGTATTTAGCCTTTTTAATTGGATTTTAAATTTTGAGATAGAGTATGCTTTTCGAAGGGACAAATTGGTATGATTCCATAGTCTAAAAGTTGAAAGTATAAAATATTCTTTAGTGAGGGATAATCTACAAAAAGGAACAATAATATCATTGCCATTTCTCAAGGGATATACAGTTGTGGTCTGTACACAGGGTGGAACAAGATTGCATAAATAATCCGGAGCTTGTTTATAGTGAATGTTATAAAACATGTGTAATATTCGTCTTTTTCTCCTGTCAGCTAAAGTTTTCCTCAACTTCTTCATAAGGATTAGTAGTGTAATAGTGGAGAAAACCAGAGTTCTGGCGACTTTTTGCTAAGGTTAACCCGATGTGAGGCTATTTCTATGACGTCATTTTTAGATATTTTGAGATTAATTAATAGGTGTATTAGATAAATGATGTTCCGGTGTTAATCACCTTTAGTGTTTGTGTATGTGTGGGTGTGTGTGTGTATCGTTTTAAGATTTTATTCATACAAATATGACCAAGGGATTATCCAATATTATTCTCGTTCTGTGTGATTGTATCCGTAAAATATTTTTAAAGTCTCTGTTTCTCGATACCACACTAGTAATAATAACAACAATAATTTGTACAATATTTAATATCCCCGTCAATTCAGACAGACATGGGTCGGAGAGCAATCCACATGTTGTCTTTACAATATATATATATAAAAAAGTTTATCCGTAACCATTTATTCATCGTGATAAAAGAATTAAAGAGTCATCTATCATTCAACTGTATCGTTAACCTCACGAAAGGGCCAACAGTATGCTATCTTTTGTGAAGGGTGTAAACTGTAAAGACTTGAAGTTAGTTTTTCCGGAATTGTTCATTCTCAAATATCGGATAAATCGAGAGCTTTCATCCAAGAGTTGAATTTCTTTGGCCAGTGTAACTATTTCACATAATATTGCTTGTTGGGTCCTTTGCCTCTGGTTTTCAGGATATTTTCAACTTTCCACATATCGTCTTCCCGCGCATCCACTTTCTGCACTTCTGATTGGTAGAAAGTTCCTGATATTTCTTCGTCTTGAAAACCATTAAGTTTATAAATTGGAAGCCCACCACGTAATATTCTTTGAGATATTTTAAATATCTCTCCGCTCCACCTCTCATCGTATTCCCTAGTAAACGGATTTCTTATGTATGTAATCCAAACGTAATCAGCAATTTTGAAACGGAAAGATTTCGTACATTCTTAGTGTTAGGCTGAACCCTTTTTGGCCAATACATTTTCCAACATAGGTTTATCTCCTTAGATTGTGTGACTTTATCCGGTGCCATGCCAATCGTTCTATGGAGGGTCATGTTGTAACTGTTAGCAAAATTCTGCATAATCCACATAATCATAAGATTGCTTACTGATGATAGATTTCATGATTTTTTATTTAATAGTCTTGATCACTCTTTCAACGTAATTAGCTTTGATTTCCGTATTTTGGACAAATAGATGTTGAATATTTCTCTGTTTCAGAAAAGCTTCCACTAATCTTGATCTGATTTTTTGTCCTTTATCTGTTCTTATTCTGCTTGGTGATCTCCCTTCTGATTAAACATATTTCAACGCTTAAGCCACGGATTCACCTTTCTTACCCTTTAGAGGCCTTAGCCATACATATTTGGAGAATATATCAATCACCACCAATATGAAATTAAATCCACTGTAAAATTTCGAAAATTTAGACATATCCATTAAATCGACATCCCATTGATCGTCTATTCCAATGACGATGACTCTTTTGTTCCGCTTAAACGACCTTTTCATTTGTTTCGTTGTCAATAGCTTCATCTAGACAGCTTTCCAACAAAGGTTTATATTTCCTGATGGCTACTTTGATAGCTTTCTCGTAGTCCATGTCATCGTTAACTAGTTCTGTGATCTTTTTCATGACTTTGCCGTGCAATTTACCTTTTTGTAATTGTAGCAGATACTGAACCGAACTGCTATATCTGGACAAAAACTGATCCATATCCTCGTCGTTTAGTTTCCGATTAGCCTTACTTCTCGCATTGTCTTCACTCATGTTACCATCCATGTATTTATCAACTTTTTCTTTCCATTTATCTTCATTTGCCTCTCTTGCAAGTTCGGCTTATTTTATAAAAGCCGCATCTTCCCCGTCTTCTATATCAAGTTCGTCTACACGAGACTTCTTTGAGGGAATGTCTTCATCCTCGTTTTCCCTTTTTCTTTTTAAATCATTATTTTCCGGGCACCACCTATTCATGTGTCTAGCAAAATCAGGAACGCTTTCAAAGACTACCCCGCAATCATCACATGAAGGCATGTTTTTCTCATGTCTGGTAATTACGTCTGTTCACTTTGAAATGTTTCATCGAACTGAGGTGAATCTAGTTCTTTTCTGCTTATATACTCTTCAGTCACACCTCCACCAATCATGTTCTTGTTTCCGAATATATTAATTTGTAGTCTGTTGTCTTCCGGTGTATTCTGTTTCATATCAATGAATAAGCTCCCATATGGTTGATGTGTCCCCTCTTTGTACTT